GTTTTTTTTGTTTTAATAGAAGTTTTACGGCGCTCGCAACTGCGTAAGGTCATATGAGCGCTAGGAGATTAGAGGTGTTACAGGAGAGTGACAAACATAAAAAAGAAGTAGGGGAGATAAGGATGATAGACGTTTGATAGGAAAGAAGGAGGGTAAGAGGTTTACAGCACTTGCCACTCAATAAGGTCATATAAGTGCCCGCGAAGATTAGAGGTGTTACAAGAGAGTAACAAACACAAAAAAGAAGGAGGAAAGATTAGGACCATAGATGTTTGATAGGAAAGAAGGAGCAAACCACACCAGAGCACCCACCAACCACCCACGTAAGAGTGTGAAAGGAGTGGTGTTTTTGGAGTTGTTTGTTTTTTTGGCTTGTTTTACGCCTTTTCCAGACCAAATAGTGGGTGGTTGGAGGGCGCCACTGGTAGGTCCTACTTCTTTACTCTCCTCTCTGTTGTTTCAGTCTGTCTGTCTTACTTTTTCCCAGCACTAAATGACCATTATTGTGTCGATGTTCTTCTCTTTACTCGAACAAAACGAATCAGACCAAATATCTATTTGGATTATTCAAATGAAACGTTACAGAATTTTTTCAACATGGTCCAATCAAGTTCCGCATTGAAAGTTGACGCATCGAAATAGACAGAGCGAATGTAACACTAGGAAGCTCAACTATCAATACTATCATAATAAAATAGCGCTCTGAAGTTTAACAATTGAGAGTTCAAGTTCAACAGGGACAATCTGTGACGTCATATGCAAGGTCAGATTCAACATTGTCAGTCCCAATTCAACACTGTCAGTCCAAATTCAACATTGTCAGCCCAAATTCAACACTGTCAGTCCAAATTCAACACTGTCAGTCCCAATTCAACACTGTCGGTCCAAATTCAATACTGTCAGTCCAAATTCAACACTGTCAGTCCAAATTCAATACTGTCAGTCCAAATTCAATACTGTCAGTCCAAATTCAACACACAAATTTGAAGTACAAGAAGTCATTCTATAGACTATCCTGGGTTCTCCCACCTTATCTCTCTGTCTGTCTCTGAATACGTCAGGAAACGATCGAGTAAGTCTCCGTCTCGTTTTTCCCCTTGTCTGTATATATATCCACCCCTTCATCCATTCATTCATCCATGCATCCCTCCGTACATCCAAACATCCTTCCACCTGTCTTTTTTTTGGTCTTAACCAGATAGATGAACATAATATCTTTGTCAAGAGAGAGAGAGAGAGAGAGGAAGAGAGAGAGAGAGAGAGAGAGAGAGAGTGTGTGTGACAGACAGACAGACAGACAGGTGAGCCGCGATGTTACCTTGACCAGAGTGGCAAACTTCTCCTTGTCTCCGGGCGGGCTCCCTCTGTTGGCCGGGTACTCCCAGTCGAGGTCAAGGCCGTCAAAGTTGTGCTCTCGCAGGAACCGGATGCTGGAGGTCACGAACTCTGCCCTGTTGCCTGGGGTGGCCACCATGGCCGTGAACTCGTCAGAGCCCATGTTCCAACCGCCCACGGCCAGGAGTACCTTGAGCTCTGGGTTCTGGTTTTTCAGATTCGTCACCTGGG